CTTTATAACCTGCAGGCCGACTCTGTATAAATCCGAACCCAAATTCAAATTCACTTATGTGTCAGAATTCACGTCATTTTTTGTGAAGAAATTCTTTTGATTCCATTATTTTTGTACTTATAAAAATACAAAACACAACTGATTGATTATACATATAACAGATATTCTATTCCTACAGTATTTGAAACTCACTTCACGTTATTACCAATTCAAGATTGAGCGGATGCCGTATTTTGAAGTGAAACCCCAATTCGAATTCACTCAGGTGTTTCGGACACCTGAGTGGTTTGATTTTTTACAAAATCGCAGGGCTGGGGTGCAACCAATCGACTCTTACTTTAAGTAACTGTAGTTATAGCTATAAAAACATTTTAGTATATTGATATTCTTTTAAAAATTGATATTAGTAATTTTATTTTTATGTAACCTAAAGTTGGATTTATTTTATTTTTTTAATAGCTTGTTTGTTCATATTTAGGGTTCCGTCAGTCTGTCTGTCACCAGGCTGTATCTCTTGAACCGTGAAAGATGACAGTTGTTGTTGCCGCTTCAACAACAAATACTAAAAACCAGAATAAAATAAATATTAAAGGGGGCTCCCATACAACAAATGTGATGTTTTTGCTCGATATTGATATCGACTACAGGTAGACGCTCAAAATATTTACGGAACATGTCATTTCAAAAATAAATAATTAAATGAAAATTTGATAAATTATAAAAACAATTTATTTTAAAAGAATATAAATAGATTCATGAGAAATATCGATAAAGCATAGATTATAGCTATGACTTAGGCTATGTCCATGAGTTAGGCGGTCACGCCCCTTATTCTTCGTTGGTTGCTAATAAAAAAATATTGTCTTACATCGAGAGAGATTAAGACGGGCACACTCCTCCTGTTTACCGAAATTAACGAGGGATTTATCTCGAGGGTCATAACCCCCCCCTGAGTTGGGTCATGACCTAGGTGGGCTATTAATTGCAATTGAAAAACATAATGTTTTTTTATATTTTTGTTTGTCACGATGTAACTTTTATTTGAGTACTTTCAATATTTAATTAATTTAACTTAATGTGGAAAAGACTTTAAAGTAATACTGATTTAAATATAAATAGGTATTTTTAAGTATCATATTATATTTTTAAGTCATACAATACTAATATTTTATTAATAAAAATACCTACTGAATAATGCTTAAAACATGCACTTTGTCCCTAGCACTCTGAGATGGGACTCCAAATTATGACTTTTCGCAATCCAGGCTCTACAAAGGTACAAAGTGATTTTTTTCTTAATGAATATTTTTCATTATAGCATTGTCAATGCAAAATTGATCAAATAGAATAAAAATACTTAGTTTTAACTTGTATTTATGAGTATAAAACTCAAATTCTAATTTCTTGCGACTTGACCACGACTATGTGACCTCCCAACCCCTTGGCGCCGAAGCTGGATCCGCTCTTTTGTATTTATTTATTTAATTCTTAAAAATAAGTCACTTTATCAAAACCGTAGAATATTTCAAACCTCGAAAAATTCGTCCCTGACATTGTCGCTACATATACGTCACATGGTAATTCAGGTCGACATTACCTTCAATATTATCTCCTAATTAAACAGACTATGATAATAGCATGTGTATTACAGCAATTTAGTGTAGGTATCACAAAATATTGAAGAAACGTTTTAGTTTTGTCGGAATTAAAACACAAATAATGAATTAAAATTGGCCTGATCGCATGTATAAAGATATAACTATAATAAACCAGTGACTAATGAACAGTTGATAGCACGAGAGGTTACTACAAAAGGTCTTAATTACCTGCGTCGATGCAAATCTAACTGAAGGCCCGTTTCTCGCGTCTCACGGAAGTATGCGTTAATAGGTATAACAGAGTGGTAAGTGTAAGTGTGTTAATAATTCGTATGGAGATTTGTAGTTCTCGGTAGTTACCGCTAGGGGCGCTGTACCGGATTCCATAATAAAATCATAACTAGCTCATGATCAACAGTGAACAAAACGTCAAAAAAACTTACACTTAGCGCTCAGATCTTTAGTGGAGTTGAGGTACAGTCAAGACCACATCAGGCTATAGAAAAATGTGAAATTTCTTTATTATATTTTAAACCTTAATAGTTTGAAGGTAGAGTTTCAAATCAACCGCAGAAATTTTACACATTGTGGTAACCTGACATACATCAGTGTGTATACGAGGGTCAAACTGAAAGTTCTTAGAACTGGCCACTTATAAACAATATAATAAAAAAATTATTCTAAAATTTGAAAATATAACTCTTTGCCAATATTACTGAGTATATATTTCATTCATTTGTCATTTGTTTTACGATTTGGCGGCAAATTGAAAATTGTCTGTGTCACGTCATCATGAATTTAACACGAGAAAATTTTCGTGCAATGATTTTTTATGACTTTCGATGTCATTTAAGTCAACAAGAAAGTTATGATAGACTACGATTGGCCTTTCACGATGAAGCCCCATCTCGTGCGACTGTTTACAACTGGTTTAATGAGTTTAAACGTGGTCGCACTAATCTCACTGATGATTTACGTGAGGGTCGGCCTTCTACGGCGACGACTGAAGATAACATCTGTGTTGTGCGGCGTATGATAGAGACTGACAAAAGAGTGACCTATCAACAGATTCGGACAAGCTTAGGCATCGGTATGAGTCAAGTGCACAAAATCCTCCACGAACATTTAGCGGTCAGGAAGCTTTGCGCCCGGTGGATACCTCATAATTTGACTGAGGCTCAAAAACTCCATCGTGTGGATTGGTGTCGTAAAATGATTGAAAGATTTAACGGAGGTGACTCAAATGCTGTGTTCGACATACTAACAGGTGACGAAAGCTAGATTTACTGTTATGATCCTAAAACCAAAAGACAATCTGCTCAGTGGGTGTTTCCTTTCGAGGAGTTGCCAACTAAAGTGAAGAGAGATCGAAGTGCGGGAAAAAAAATGGTGGCCTCGTTCTTTGGAAGGATAGGTCATTTTGCAACAATTGTGTTAGAGGATCAAAAAACAGTTTCTGCAGAATGGTACACTACCAATTGTTTGCCACTTGTCTTGGAAAAAGTTCGAGAGAAACGACCTCGCAGTAGGATCCTCCTTCACCACGACAACGCCTCGTCGCACACCGCCAAGCGAACGATCGACTATTTGGCGACATCAAACGTTGAATTACTGGGTCACCCGCCGTATAGCCCCGACCTCGCGCCTTGTGATTTTTATTTATTTCCAAAAATTCAAGAAAAACTTAAAGGAAAGCGGTTTATGAATGCTGAAGAAGCGGTGGCTGCGTATCGCGATGCCATTGAAGAGACCCCTAAGGACGAGTGGGCAAAGTGCTTTTCCCAGTGGTTCCATCGCATGCAGCGGTGTATTGACGTGAATGGACAATATTTTGGAAAGATATAATAAAACTAATAACTGGCTAATGTAATCAGTTTTTGATTTTCTAAGAACTTTCAGTTTGACCCTCGTACAAGGTTCAAGGTTATTTCATACGTATATACGTACTGGCAATTGGCGACCGACAATAACTTGTATCTTCCATCAGATATGCACCGACTCTAATAGCGTATTTACGCTGGTCGATTAAATCCACGTGTGGTTTTTGGGAATACTACCCTAGAAATGGAGGATATACTAATCAAATCTAATTTGTTAAATTTAAATTTTGACCGATAAAGCCGTCGACGACAAATTAGGTTACTACAAAAAGCTAAATTCCTCCAATCAATCTTGAACCTTAATTTCTAATAAATTTCAAGTCTTACGGTCGGTTTCTGAATTGAGATAAGTTCAAAATCTCAACTGATCATTATTGCTATATAGAATAATTTAGGTTTTTTTACTTTTTAAAGGCAAAAATCCTAGTTTTTATCAGACTGCTATCAACTGATCATTGAAAAACTAAAATCAAAAACGAAAACCTGTGTGACGTTTAAATACAGTGCTTAACTTTAAATACTCAATTCAGAAACCGGGTATTAATTTCTTGTTGTTGTTCAGCCTATCGCTGTAAATGAAATCTGTTGATGTTAATATAATCTTATATTAATCTGTGTAAAATTAATTTAAATTTGCAAAAACAATTTTTTTAATAACCATGACCACAGCCCTAACTTAATTTGTAATGTATGTAATCTAGTCAATCGGGTTTATGTAATATTTCAAGTGGAACAGATAGTTATCACAAAATTATTACTTTTGTAATGTGAATTGTTTCTTTAAGTTTCTGCTTACGAATGAAGATAATGAAACAACAAAGTTCTTTTTATATACTATTTTTATTCTTTATATTATTATTTTCCGTAATCACGTTATAATATTTTCGCTTACAATTCTTAATTTGGAATGGTATTATGTGTATAGTTTAGCTTAAAAAATAAATAAAAAATAATACCTCAATTTACAACTATAACAAAAGCATGCAAATTAATTGTTTGTGTAACAAAAGGAACATGGCAAAGAGTTTTTTACTCTTTGGTTTGACTGAGATGTTACAAGACGATTTCTCTCTAAACGGGCGCCATTTAAAAAATATAATAAAATGTAGACTTAATTTAAAGAAAAAATCACTGCAAAACATCCATCAATCCTAAAATAATCGGCGTCATAATCTTAATTGCGGACACAGTGTTTCAACGTGCAGACAATGTATCACTTAAAACTACGTTAATTTTCTCATTATTAAAATTGTTATTTGTACATAAAAAATAATACAGTGCCAACAACCACGATAAACTATAATAATTAAGTTATAAATACTACAATGGATACAAAACAATATATAAACATTTAAATCACTCTTGGACGAATGCTCACGCGCATATATGAAGACACATGGGATGCTCAAAATCAGTTCAACATCCAACGGCGGCTCAAAGCGTGTAAACATTCGAACACCTATTGCTAAGTAATGCAGACAACAACCTGCTAGCCTGAACAGGATAAACATTTTTTTTTGTTACTTTCAATAATTATAAACAATCAGAAAACAAGGGGCATTGCACCAATAAATAAAAGTAAGAAAACGCGAAAGTAGAAGAAAGAGAAGAAGAAGGACTTAAGATTAATAATATAGTACATTCGTACGATTAGAATAGAGAAGTGAATAAATAATTTATTGTACTTAAGAGAGTACAAGTTAAGTAAAGTACACATTGCTTGCAATAAAGGCATCGGCGAAGCTCAATAGTATTATGATACTGCTTATTACATGACAATCAATATTCACAATTGATGCGCGAATACGTATCATGAATATAAGGTTCGCTTCAACTAAACTACAAGGCTAGATAGTTTTACTTTTATTCACTGGCGCAATTACAGGTACATAAACACTTTCCTTCAAAACATAGCCTAATTCACTTCACAAACTTTCGAGGCCTGAAATTTGGGAAAAGCTGATACTTACATTATATGTGAGATCGGAGCTACTACCTTACCTTATTGAAATCACTTCATCCACTAAAAAGCTAATTAATTAGTTATCAGAAACGTAAAGTCGATAAAAATTTGAATAAGTTAAGTGAGTAACTCCTACCGACTATATTTAATATCTACATGGTATTTAAAATGTGTTCAGTAATATCATTAGGAGCGTAAGTCACTTCTAAGCTAAGACTGTCAAGAAGGAGCAAGCTCGCATATTTATCTGTTTCAATTTCCCAGCTCATATATTTTATATTAATTAGTACATAATCAGTGCGTGCGTGATTTTCACAGTTGAGAATTCAAGTATACAATAACAGATTCTGATGAGTACATTCTATTCACCAGAGCGTTGACGATGCGTCCATTCCGTAAGTCTATATTACGACTAAGTAAACATTCCGGTCGGGTCCCACGTTTTCATTAAAACTATGACTGTAATATTCGAAAGCTAATCCGGCAAGAACATCATATCCGGCCGTTCGCTTCGACCTCGGGGTGTGATAATCCGAGACTAGATCACGACACAGTTGAGGCCGTCTGCGATGATGACGTGACGTGCCATCGTAGACGAATCGCTCCTACACAACCTTTATACGAAACAAGAGCGTATTAATCGCTCATCTCTCCACGTATATAGAACACGATTACAATTCCGTAGGGTCCACATTTTTCAACCAGAAATTTATAATCAACGACATTATATTAAAACGTGGAGTAAAGTTGTGGAACATATCATTTATGAGCGTGTGACATTCTATGGTACCACGTGCGTCTCAGCGTAGACGACGGCGTAAATTCATCCATCGTTTCTCTCATTCGTCTTCAGTACTGGCGATCGTCGTATATGTATATGGCCTCGCCTGCGGATTCCTTAAGAGGGGGCGGGGGCGGAGGGAAATCGAGGTCGCCTCGGAACAACTTGGAGGCGTTGGGGGCGGGGGACGCGGGCGCGGGGGACCCGCCGGGGGATCCGCCACCGCGCCGTTTCACTCCGCCCGCACTCGCGCAGGTGGTTCCCGCGCGAAACGAAGAACGTCGCGCCAATCTGTGGACGTCAAATACTTCTTTGAGTATATTTCTATGGACAACCTAGTCCTGGACTTAATCAGCGCTTTGAAGGCGTAACTCAGATTACTATTGCAAGCGGAATGGTCCATTTAGCATGGCTCACTGTTTAAGATTTATATTTGGTCATGAGTCCAAAAAAGCTAAAATACGTTTGAACTACAGTCCAATATTATTTAAAACGTAGTTTTAAGCTCTTACAATAAGAAAACGCTAGACTAACTTAGGTATCACCACTTTATACAAAATCCCTTCAGATATTGATCATAGTCATATGCATTTTTCTGTTGTGGTTTCATCTCTGGACTACTAAACAAATTTCAATGAAACCTTGAGAAAGGATAACTAATAGTTTTTATCGCAAAGAAACGGAATTCCACGTCACTAGGGAAAAACTGATACTATGCTTACAATTTTATTTCGCTTTTGCAACTCATATCTATTTGTATTGCGATTATACAGTTCTCTTCTAATGTAAAATGTTAACGCCCAACGCCCCTTAATCACTGAAATCGTACACACCTAGAAGCGACTTCTTCTGGTGTCTCTTCTATCTCCAGCACCCAACTGACAGAATCGTGCTTCTCAACAACGCCTTTTACAGCTGGCAAGGGGGGCGTGTCCGGGGCCGGAGACGCGGCGGGGGAGGGGGGCGAGTCGGGGGCGGGAGACGTGGACCGCACCGAGTCGCCTGAAGACGTGCGCGTACGTATCGGCGTCCGCTCTATATAACCACCACCCGCCAACAGTGATACAACCTGGAAAAACACAAGCGGGCCATTAGACGAAAAATCTAGGGGCTGAGTGTTTAATTCCAACATCTATCGCAATGTATAGTGATTGTAATAGAGACATGGAATTATATAACTTTTAAAGTCGCAATTGCTTTTGGAATTAATGATGGAATGAATGAGACTATCAAAAAACATAATAAAAAGATTGCAAAACCCATCAATAAATTGCATTTAGCATTCAACTCTTTCGTTTGACACATCTCAATAGTTTCACACACATCTCAATTCCAAAAATTAACGTCAATATTGATGGTAATTCTTCCTCCTTCAAAAAAAGTCACGATTGCAATCGCTGTCACATGTCAAATATATGTTGTTGTTAATAACTTTTAAAAGAGTAACTGGAAGGGATTACGATAGATATTTAAATTAGACAATTAGTCCCCTGGTTCTCAGATCAAAGTTGCGGATTGAAGACAAAAATCAAATTATCTTGATCTATTTCAAACAAGTATCAGTCAACACATTACATGATCAATCTGACATCAATATGATCATTATTGATCTTATTGATGTCAGATTGTTCATATTGATGTCAGATTGATCATGAAATTGAAAATAAAAAATTAAACCAAAAAAGAATATTTCGTAAAACCACGCTATAATACATAATAATTATTGAATACAGCACTCACTTGAGACTTCTGCCGAAGTTTGTACCTCAGCTCTTCGTTGAGAGCGGCCAATCTGGTGGCATGGTCTCTGTCCCTAGCGGCAGTTTCTCTTAACCGTCTGTTGTCATCGCGCAGTCTGTCCACGTCACGTTGTCTCGCCGCAGCCCTTTCCCTCAGTTCTTCCGCGACGTGTCTCGCGGCGAGTGCGTCACGTTCAGCGGCAGCACGCCTTTCTCTTTCCACAGCTAATTCGGAACGGGCGTCCCGTAATGTGACCATTTCTGCTTGTTTCAACTCGATCACCGCCCTAAGAGATCGCACCTATAACAATATTCGAAATTTTATATTGCCCTTTTGACCATGCACTCGCAGCGATGTATCATTTACGATAGCACACATTGTATCCCATTCAGTTTCGATATTAAAATAATACTGTACCAAATATATGGTTGTGAGTACTAAAAATCATCTGAATTTCATTATTTAACACGTAACATAAAATTATTCCAATCGATTTTAACCTTTGATATTTAAGATTAAAATTTGATTATAGAAGCTGATATATTACTGCAGTCACGTTTTCAACAAATCTGGATGGATTTCATCCAGCGACCTATACACGTACTAAAAGAAGTAATACACTACATATTTTGTAGTATCGACTTTATAATGACATATTTACAATACTATTATATCATACGTAGAGTTTGCACTGGCTAACATTACGCACATTTATTATAATGTAGCGTAAATTTTGAAGACTATATTAAGATCATATCTTAAAGGACATCGAAAGTGAATATTTAAAATACCCACTAAAGATTAAATTCGTCTAGAATCAGAAGTATGTTGCCAAACATACTAACCTCTGCTGCCAACTCGTTGGCGTCAGTGCTCAGCTCTTCATTGGCCGCTAACCGGAGTTCGCAATCTTCCGCATCGCAATGAACAGGATCACAAGCGGCGTCACACATGTTCCACGATTTGTCACGGGACTTATCATGTGACAAGTCGTATTTTTTATCGCACAGTGCTTCTGTAAGCGTGTGCGACTTTTCTAATTCCGCCCGTGCCGCTTCTAACTGTGCGCGTAATGTACGCTCGATTTCGCTGTGTGCATGTAAACGTGCTCTACTCTCGGCGACTTCATGTTTAAGCGACTCTATGGTGTCCTGAAAAAAAAATCGTTGATGAAGCATTAGCATAATTTTATTATTATATATAAGCCCGCGTAAATAATAGCCTATATCGTGCCTATACCGCGTATGATAGAGCTTACCATAAGTGATTTTTTTTAATCGGACCGATTTGGAGCCTATTCTATGCAAACAAATGAACTAGTCTTTCGTCTTCGTAATTTATATTCCAGTACAACGTGCATACCTTTAGGCCCTTTATATCGCTCGCTAGAGCTGCGACGGACTCCATGTGTGTAGCCTGCAGACGCGCATTGGCCTCTTCCTTAGAAGTCACCTCTATTTCCAACTCAGAGATCTTGCTTAGGCATTCAGCAACTGAAATCAAATAATATATAATTATAAGTATATTAAAAAGTTAGCGCTAATTTTAATAATTATCCGTATCATTTAAAGTATCATACTAGATATTTTTACAATAAAACAACTCTTTATTGATAACACCACAGATATATCAATTGGCGGTCTTATAGCTAAAAGCGATATCTACCAGACAACCTTTAGATGAACAAGACTAAATGATGATTATGAACTGGGGACAAATCTAAAAAAACGATAGATATTTGTTTAAATAAGTTATTTTTAGTATAATTGATTTACTTGTATCAAGATCCTTCTGAGCCCTTTGCTGGCGGTCGCGGTCCGCTCGCTCGGCGCTGCTTCGCTCTGCCGCTGCCACACCACGCCATCTCTCTGCCTCCAACCGCCATGAACCACCGTTGAGGGCATCCAACTGAAAATATAATTAATATAAAGCAAAAAGATAATTATACAATTAGATGCTAGCTCAACTGTAACGTATATTATGATATTATTCACGAATTTGTATAATTTTTGAAAGTTTGATTAAAACTAAATCATAACTTTAGCTACTAATATATCATCAAGTACAAACAAAGCATCAACTAGATTACAAGATGCAGCCAAAGAATTTTTCACAACATATTCAGCTCATTTTAAGGATTTTCATAGCCTCTACTGGTCAACAAACACCAGATCAAGATAAAAAACAATAAGGAACATTTACTTGTATGAAAAAAATGTCTTTATAATAAACTTACTCGGAACACCAGGTATTGCACTAAAACACCGAGAGCTTCAACTCCTTTGGCCGCGTGCGAAAGAGCATCAGCTTGGCCTCGTGGTAGTGGGACAGGTGCAGCGGGTGCAGTAGGGGTACGTGCAGCTTGCGGGGATGCCTGAACGCGTTTGCCTCGCGGCACAACCGCTGCAGCCGCACGCGGCGGTTCTGTAAAAAAAATAATCATTAGATCATAGCAATTATCATAATCAGCCCTTTTCCGTTCCCACTGCAGGGGCTAAGGCCTTCCTTGTGGATGGTTAGGGAAGATGGGTCATGACCCTCCACGCTGGCCCGTTGTGGATTGTAGTATATTAACGTCTACAAATGCAAAACCCGAATTCGAATTCTCTCATATGTCAAAATTCAAGTGATTTAGTGTATAAATTTTATCGAGTCCGTTTTGTGTAAAAATACAAAACAAAATTGTTTTATTTTATACGTATCTCAGATATTCTGTCACTGTGTGATTTCGAAACTCACTTCACTTAAGCCACGAATGTTATTACCATATCAAAGTTGAGGGGATGCCGCTTTTTAAGTGAATTCGGACACCTGACTGAATTTTATAGAATCGCAGGGCAGGAGTCGGAGGAGCTGAAGATAATAATGTTTTGGTCACTCAACCCGTGAACTACCCTTGTGAAAGTTGCAACAACCATAATAGGACGCGGCGCTTATCCACTACGCCACAAAGCTATTAGATCATAGAAATAAGATACACACACTTAAAATCGGACAGATATTGCTGTTGAGAAAAAAACAACATTAACGAATTAGTTTATAGAGTAGAATAACCAGTATTTTTGATGAAAACAATCTATGACTTATTACAGTACTGTTGTAGCCGATTAGCTTATACAAACATCAAACACAATAACAAAAGAACTTTTCACAATGGATGTATACAATAGGCAATACAAGAAGCTGTTTCTATGAGAGGAAGTAATGATACTATCATTAGTTCATATTCTTTGTATCGCACTATCTAAAACTACATACGGTTTCCTGAATAAGTGGACAATATTACAGTGTTGGAAATATAACTTTAGTGCATAGAAACTTTTTTATTACTTCATACCATAGTAATACAATTACTCATTACTAACTTTCCTACTGTCATCATAAAAACCTTTCGTTCCTTTTACAAGTTGAAAATGTGATTGTTATTCCGTTCACGTGCATAGGTACCGAAGTCATGTATGAAGGTCCGAAGACCTGCCAAATTAATTAGAACTCATGTGTACTTATCACGTGTACTTTGCATTCAATACTGTATAAAATAACTGTCGTAACAACTCGTTTTTACGACTCTACAATCTTCATAATGAAACATGCATTAAAATATTAGAAACAATTTCGAGCCAACCAGGGATTTTATATTCCCTTCGAAGTTATGACAATTGCGACGAAAGTTTGAAAATAAAATAGTGTAAATGTCTAAAGTCTAAATGTAGAGAAAATATAAAAAAGAACCACTTCCCACGCGCCCCAATGTTAGACCACATTGTAGCGCACGCATCATTAAATACTGCACTGGAGAGCAGCGCCCATTTCCGCCGAACGATAATAATAAAAGCATTAGAAATTTAATCCACCAGTCATTGAAGCATTACAACGAATTTCATTAAATTATTATTGTGTAAATGTTGGCTAAGCAAACTGTTACTGTAAGGCGATATTTACTTTTCCTTGTACAACTCACAAAGTTGTTATGTGTACCTTTAGAATTCGTGTTCAATGAATTATAAATAAATATAATATTAGTACCAATTTTGATAATACCGAACATAAATAACCAAACAAAATAGGTAGAGTATGGTTATGTAAAATAATATTCTAATTCATTTATTTTTCAACTCTGACTTTATAATATCATTATAAACTGGATTTTACCATGTTTCACTAATTTATAAGTTCTACACGATTTGGAGTAACGATCAACGCAGCGTATTAAGCAAATGCCCATCACAGGTCCGTGAGCGCTGAAGACGTAATTATTGCGGATGATGTCTCAATAGTACGAGTAATTTTGTGAATGGCCGGCTGAGGGCAGGCGACGAACGGCGTGTGGGCTTCAATTGGGAACGTTGTTGAAACGTAGAATTAACATGATCTTAGGGATGGCAGGCGTTACTAATTTATACACGCTAAGATTATTTATATACTTGCACGAGATTTTATTTACTTGATCTAATTGGTCAAAATAACCGTTTTTTATAGACTAAGTATGATTTGTTTTAGACAATGCTGAGATGCGTACGTTCAAATACCTGCCAAAATAACAAATTAATCAGATAATTGTATTACCATGTAATGCCTCTTTTTGTAACTGAATTGATTTTTCTTCTTGCGTTTACTACTTTAAATGGATAATTAAAAGTAACCGATTAACATTAATGATCGGAATATAAATTAGTTGGTTGTCATTATGTCACTAATGATTGTGATGCACATATTTTTGAGAATAAAATACTGTATGCTAAATGCTGACAAAACAAAAAACTTATATAAAATTTACTTTATATTCATTAGTATATGATTGATTTTATTTAAGCATTGACTGAAAATCCAAATTTGTCAATTTGTGTCAAAGCCTTACACATTGATATTAGATCAAAGTTTATTGCCGAAATATGATATTTTTAGTAGCTCGATGTGCCGCTGTGTGCGTATGCGAATATCGAACATACATACACGTTGAACAAACATTAAAAAGAATAATCAAACATAAATCCTCCTCCTTTTTCTTTGATTTTGGAAGTCGGCTAAAAAACAAGGAAAACGAATAAACATTTTGTAAATATTTTAAACAACTTTATAATTTTGACAGCCCTTTGTACAGTTTGAATACTTTTTAAGTACGATAAAATGATGCGCCTACACCGGGGCATAGTGCGCTACATTAAAATATTGTCGTCAATTTTGTAACAACATATGCAATACAAAAATTACATGATATCATTGTATCTCTAACAAATGAGTTTACACTCAAGAAATAATAGAAACTAGTAATAATGAACTGGTCAAGAATTTATATTTGGTAATATTTTATAATAGTGAATTTTTTTTTTAATATAGTCAGTCCTATGCAGCGTTCCGTGATGAACTTGTTATGAATTAATAAAATAAACGTACGTCCGTTTTGTAATAAATGAATGAATTAATGAACACTTTATTGTACACCACAAAGAAAAACATGAATACAAGCAAATATTTACAGTACAACCGGCCTTATCGCTAAAAAGCAATTTCTTCTAGGCAACCGTACGTTAGACTGGATTGATTGAAATAATTGATGGGTAGCATAATGTTGCATCACAAAGTAAGCAAATTTATTATTACGTAGAGCAAAAGAATATATATGTGTTATATAGTATACTCAATACAAATATAAATACATACACTAAAACAATACATATATATATATATATATATACATAAGGACTTGGATTTAATGTTATTTGTGGTGAGAGATGGATTTGTACAATTCATTACAAACAAAGACACGAACACTTTTAGACTTAATATTTATCAATGGGAAAATATGGTGAATTTTATAGTAAAAACTTAATTTGTGCCGTGTTCTTTTCATGTTTTGGTGTCACAGAATCCTTAGAGTTATGATGTACTTTTTAAAATTTTAATTATACAACTTATTTGGACGATATTGCTTTGCACAACATCAGTTGAAAGTATACCCTAACTAAGATTTAGGGTATACACGTACCCGCTTAACATGAAAACATATAAGTAGATTTGTAGAACTGTTATTTCCAAGTTAACGTTAGTAATCAGTGTTCCGTGATAGCCATTAAAGTAGTCTATGGTATAGTTTCCTCAATGACAGATGTGTTAGTGGCACATGTTCAGTCATTACTATGACAGTGTCGTTGTCATGGTACGTATACTATTTCGTATTCGGTGAAGAGTGTGGTAACGGGACACGGTTACTGTTTTTGCATTACATTATGGACTCTTACTCCATGGAATAAAGACAACTGCAGTTCCGCCTTTGCTTATTATGGGCATGTGTAGTATCATTAACAAGGAATCATAAGTTGTGTCTATTTTTTTCCCAAAACATTGTTATCCGCCATAGATTACATACTATAGAATTTAATAAATAATGAAATTCTATAAATATAATTCAAACTATTAGCAATCCAAGAAACTATAACATTCACGAAAAAGATTACGAACATAAAATTTATCAACGACCACAAGCTATTATTTCGGCGCAAAATATAAGGCATCACTAATAACAAAATATTATACTGTATGGAAATATTAAACACTAATATTATTTCCATATATGAACAATTATAGCCTATTACAAAAAGTTGATAGCTACAATTGCCCAAGCGTATAATGTTATCAGCATGTGAAAGTTTTACGCGTGCGCAATCAAGAATGAAAAAAATACGAAATATATGTAACATATATGATCGCAACAATAGTAGAGTACATAATGCTATTTCCATTTCTATCATGCATGCTATCAGTAAAAATTTTAATGTTCAAAGATAGAACGTAATAAAACCTTTGACAATTGCGTGGTATGACTTTTTAATAGGATAGGAATTTATTGAACATTATCACTATCATGATAGCATTTAAACTCTAATTTCGCTTTAGCAAAGCCCTTTCCTTAAATTTCTTTAAACCAACATGAAAAGGAAAGGATATTCTCTTACATATACTCACAAAGTTATATAACAAATCTACATTTGGCAAAGTTTTATGTCGTGTTATGAGATACCGTGGACACACCAATCTTTATAAATATGCTAGATAACGAACAGTGACAGGTTCCTAGTTTGTCGTCTAAAACCTGTTGTCGCAATTGATTACATCGCTTGGGTATGATAAACATCATTATAGTTTCATTTTTAGATAATCGTGAATAAACATTGTTACATAATTTAAAAAAATACAGTAATTACACATTAAACAAATGAAAAACAGATGAAGTCGCATCAATTACCTATAAACTATTACGATTATTGTACAATTGATCATGTTAAGTTTTGGCTACAATTTCTTTAAAAAGCAAATAAAAATCCGGGCAAGTGCAACTCGTACTCGCGTGTGAAGGGCTCCATTCCGGAAAAGAGCAATAAAATCACGTTTGTTGTATAGGAGCCTAGTTAAATACATATTTCATT